ATGTGTAGTTTCTACATATATATATATGCACCAAAAATCAATACCAGATGCTGGATCTTGAGGTAAATCTGATAAAAAGACGGGAACTTAATCATTGATTGATTTAATTCATCATTCTATTAATTGTAATTTTATTTACAGATGAATTTGGTTTTGTTGCAGGGAATACTTGTGAAAGGTGCATTTGTCAGCGACAATTTTCCTAAGGGTATATAATCAGGTGGTTTATCTTTAGAGAACCTAAATTTCTTTTAACTACAACATTATACATTATTCCTTTTTACTAACTAATACATTGTACTTCACCAATTCTGAGTAACTACCATATTATGATTCAAGTTATAGTTTAAAAAGTTATTCCATATTATGAAGCAAATCAACAAATGACAACTTCTCTAATAATCAGCATAATTTATTCAAAAGCTGTGGCAAGGATAGGGGAAGGGAAAGAAAGAGAAACAGATTATGATTGAGAAAGTGATTACATGACCAACATTATAGTCATAGGTATCATCATTGATTATTAACGTAACTTTATTTGTGTTTTTTAAGATTGTTGGCACATTGTGAAAATGACTATTTGTTACAATGCATTGAAGGTGACAATTTTATTTTTTTGGTCAATCCACGGGTTACTAACCATACCAGACATTTATTTTTATGGATTTTAAAGGAGAAAAAGATAAAAATGTCACCACTACAAATCATGCAGATTTGATTCAGGTAAAAGATAGCTGCCAACTTTTGCTTCCTATACTAGCCTTTTGACTTTAATCTCATTAAAAACTCAAATTCTTAATCTTCTGTTTAGTGAAGTGTTTAGGGTTGGAATCCTCTGTTTCTTCTAATCCTAGGGCATGAGGCTTGAAGGTATGTTTGATTCTTGTAAAAAACTAAGAAGGTGTTTTCTGAATTCTTTATTTCGTTGAAGAATATAGATATAGATATAACGTTTGTATTTGATGTGAACAGGGGTTGTGGAAAGAGAATTTGATTGTGTTTGCTATCAATAAAAATATGTAACATCCATTTCTTTGCTTTTCCAGACCAACAACCACCTACCGGCTTCAATCACCTGATTCCCTGATTACAACTGTTTACGGATGCCACCATTGAAGTCTCTCTCTTACTGTTTTACGAGCACAGACACACACATCACTAACTCAATGGAACACGGTAATTGATATAGAGGTTGTAAGTAACTTAACTTTGGTTATGGATTTGCTTTGTTATAATTTTTCTCATAATAAGGAATAACCTTACACCTCTGTATCACATGAGTATGAGCTAATTATCGATTTCTACATTGATTTTTTTTAGATTTCTAAAATTTATTTGTGTAATTCCTATTAGGGTTTTGAATATGTAGGGTATTGATGTTTTTTTAGGCTTTTCCTAGGACGTTTCTTAGGTTTTGTTTTTTGTTTTCTGATTTTTGATCAACAAATGTTTACTTGAAGAACAGATTTCATAGTTGCGAATGAACTCATTATTAGCTTCTCCTACTGATCAACTTGCAAGTAGCAAATATAATTTGAAAGTTTTGATTTCATTTGAACTTTTTAATGATTAGACATTAGCCACCTCTTACATGTACATGTACTGGCTTTTCAGTTATTTATGGTTCTCATGAACATTTTCTAATAAATTCAAAGGATTTGCATGGATTTTGGTTTTGAAAATAGATTTTTGATTTTGGAAGTAGAACTATAAAGGTTTGAATTGAAAGTTTGAACTTGAGCTCTTGACAGGTCATGTAACCGATATTTACTCTAACCATATTTTAGATGTTCTATCATTTTTTATTTTATCTAACATGGTAATCAATTTTTTCTCAATTTGCTGAGCTTGAGGTTTTGACTTTTGAATTGCTTATGCTGCATTTCGTCTGTATTCTACATCTGATTTAATCTCTATGGTTCATTGTGGTTCAGTGATGTTGAAGATCTATTCTCTTTAATATCCAAAGTCTAAAGTTCGTTGTTATTTTTTAGTGTTTGTTGAGTTGTAAATCTTGCTGTTGCATTCCTTTACTGATTCTGTAATTGTATCTTTGTGTTTTCTTTCAGTTTTTGTACTTTTTCCAGTCACCCACTGGCTTTTAATCTTAATAAAATATTTGTTGTTAAATAAAACCAATTTTTTTTCTCAAATTTCTAGGACCAACATATTTAGAAGTTGGATAGTTTACTTCCTATATCAAACCTAATAAAAGTGTTCGCTTTAATAGTCTTATGACACTAACTGTTTCTTAATATTCGTGGATTTGTAGTTTGTTTAATGTTCCATCAATATTTTCTAAAAATCTAAAAGTATTGATGTTAATTTTGAAGTTGAAATTTTTTAGTTTCACCATAGAAGTTAACATTTTCTGAAAATCTGTTTTTGCATTTTACCTTATAAGCCAACGTGTATCATTTACTCATTGTATAATATGTTTAATTATTTTAGCTGAGTATCTAAAAACATATCAAGGTTAATAAAATACATTGTGTTTAGTTATTTCTACTATTAATGTACAAGAAAAACTAAACCGAACCAATTTTGTTAATTATTTCAAACACGGACCATCTTTGTGTTATAAGTAGATTTTTTTGGTTTTTTTGTCACCTTCATATTTTGCATGAAAGGGAAACTTATTTCAAATACATACATAATTATAATATTGTATTTTCAAAGTACAATGCTTAAAAAGAAAAAATAATTTAATTAAATTAAAAAAGGAAATAAAACCCAAAGTAAGATGTTATATTTGACAGAATAATAAAAGTACATTGTTATATATTGCATTTAGACCATGATTTTGTTAAATGCAAGAAATATAACTCAATGTAAGATGCTATATATCCAATGTTGGTAAAAGCTTTAAGTGCATTGTTTTTTTTGGTAAAAGGTTACAAATACATTGCTATTATAACTATAAACGAATGGTGTATTATTTAATTACATAATCAATTTTTAATTCTATTTAAAATTAACACTTGTGGGTTCTACGAGTTTTAACCTAGTATGTTTATAATTAATATTATTTATATCAAATAAGAGATGTTGGAGGGGGAGCACACCTGCTAGCCCCTGTAATGGCTCCGCCTCTGGGATCAGGCAATCTCAATTTTGAATTCTGCAAATGTTTTTGAAGTCATTTTTAAAAAAAATATAAGACCAAGGGTTTCGGAAAAACTTTTAAATCGAAGTCTCCATTTTGAAAACCATTCAATAAAAAATGTAGTAATGGCCAATGAGTTTGTCCCACCACCTTGACTGATACATGCTAAACCTAAGGCTTTCTGATAGGAACCTAACGGTTGAGGTGCATAATTCTACATAAAAAGTTCATGATTTAAACCCTAATAAGTGTAAAATAATCGTTGGTATTCTGCAATTTACTTCTCATGTGGGCTTTGGGATGGATTGACGTGAGCCACTCAGATAGTACGGTTTACCATTCTTATATGCTAAATCTACAACATCATGCAAACGTCTGAAATTCCATTAGAAATGGGAATGGAAAGGTCGATGTCGATATTTATGACTCTATAAGAATAGAGCGGCTATTACATATAAATGACCCCTACATGTGACACATTAGGCGATACCAAGTAGATATCAACATATTATATATATATATATATATATATATATATATATATATATATATATATATAATAGTGTACTTAAGAACAAGACATATAAATATATATATATATATATATATATATATATATATATAATAGTGTACTTAAGAACAAGACATATAAATGTACCTATGTTATTCCACTACTCTGATACTAAACCTCCACAATATCCCGTGTGAGGAATTATCGTTGGAAAGAATTTAGCTCCTCATGTCTAATCTAACATTGTCCTCACACTTTCTTTTGAACATCCTCTCCTCTTCGAACCATCAACTACCATGTACTCTAGCCTTCCAACCATCGTTATCGCGAGCTCTTTTAGACATGTCAATACCACCTCAATCTACATTCCATCAATATTCGGTGATCAACGCTACTCCTAATGTACTTCTCACTACTAGAAAAACAGTCTTTTACGACGCGCAATGCGTGTCGTAAAACGCTCAGACGACGTGCAAATGCGTGTCAAGGAAGGCCCTATCATAACGAGAAACGACATGCTTTTGCGCGTCGTCTATAGACGACGCGCATTTACAACGCGCAGTTATGACACGCATTTACGACGCTCATTTACGACACGAAATGTGTATCAAGGAAGACCCTGTCATAAAGGAAGACGACACGCATTTGCGTGTCGTAACCTTACGACTCGCATTGTGTATCATTGAAGCCCCTGTCAAGAAATTCCATGTCATAAATGAAGATGACACACCTTTTTGCGTATCGTAATTTTAAATGTTTTAAAAAAATATTATTTATAGATTTACTAATTTTCAAATTAAATTTGCATTTAATGTCTCATAATAAAAAATAAAATATCATATACAAAAAATACAATCCACTACATAAAATTTAATGTCATACAAATAATCGTTCCATGGAAAGATAAAACAAATCAATAGAAGTTGTAACAGGAATTTACAAACTAATAGTTCTAATAACCTAATGTGTGCCTCACTGTAAACAAGATTTGTGCTGATTTTTTTAAATGTGTACCTCACTTGTCTCCACTCTTCCTTAGTAACACCACTCAAGGACTCTAAATCTATTAACTTGCTCACAGTATCTATATTGCCTGCAAAAAAAAAACATAACTACAAAATAAGTATTGTCAAGGATCAACAATGTTGCAAAAAATCTGAAAATTATGTATTCCAGGAGAAAAAGAGTGTTTGTCATAAAATACAAATATAAAAAATCCATAACTCCTAGATAAGGGATAAGGCATAAGCTACTTTTACTTTAGAGTGTAAACTAAACAAACAATAATAATATAAATATACTAAAGATAAAAAAATAAACAAGTGAAAACAAACAATGGAAGATTCATGAAATTTACCAACCCGGAACTCAAAGCGAAACAGATCATGTGATGAGATTAAGTAAAGTCTCAGACCCTGATAAAACAAGCATCAACATAATCATCATTTCCTATAGGCTTGCAGTACTTTGTAGTATCTCTTACCTTCTTTTGTGCTTTTCTTGTACTTTTTAGTGCAAAAATCTTGGAAGAAATGATGGCTGCATGTAAAACACACCATCACTTAGGAACCAAGTATACAACAATAATGTACATCATTTAATTGTACCCTAAAAGCTCAAAAACAACAAAAACATAGAAACGTAGAAAAACAAATAAGTTACATTTTTAATAGCACAGCCTTGAAGAATGTTGTATAGTTCTACAGGCTTCCAGTAAATTTATATAATTTTTATTAAAGTCTTTCTTCAGCTGCAAAACCCTCCATCATATATACAATGTCCTTCCAATGCTTCCTTGGCTACAATAGCTGTCTGAACATCTGAAATTAATAATTTTTTTTAACATTTTACAAAATTATATTATATATAATAAGCTTCTCAACACTTGTTATAAAAAAAACAATTAACTCTCACCAGGGTATTGAATTAGAGCTTGAACTCCACCATTTTTGTCAAACATTGCTATCTTTAAAACAGGCCCAAAAGCAGAAAATACATGTTTACAACAAAGTGAGAGAAAGAGAGATTAAAAATGAGCACATGGTCAAATATGAAAAAACACAAATTTGCATATATACCATGTGTAAAACATCTAAGGTGACTACATACTGCATGTTTTCAATAGAAGCAAGAAGAACATTACTCTCAGATTCAATCTTATTTCTATCTAAACCTAAACTGAACTGCAAAAGTAACAAACTAGTAAGCATAATACAAGTATAAATATAAAATACAACAAAAAGTTAAGTAATTTTACAAAACAATCCTTCAAGCTGTTATAAAGAATAATGACTTTACCTGACCAGTAGCATCTATTGCTAAAGATGCAACAGGAAGCATAGGATTTGTATAGTCCCTGAATAAATATAAAGCTTATTAGGTTAGGGGCAAAACTGTCATAAAAAGAAATCAAGTCGGAAAGATATAATATTGTATTATACCTGCTACGATGACTCTGGAATTTTACACTCAAATCTGTATGTGCAGAATATGTTATCTTAAGAGAACATGGTCCAAGCTCTGGAATCAAATACCTACAATTCCATAGGGGCAAAAACATCAATTTAAACATTAAAGGGCTCTTCTTGAGACAAAAGACCACGAGGTTCCACAACCACAGGAGCAAGAGTGGGCTCCACAGTGGATGTATGTGTAAGACAAGGTTAAAGATCAATTGTCCCACCACCTTTCTGAATTAAAAAAAAAATTGACGATGATAGCATACTTACCTGGTGGAAGCCTACTCTTATCATATTTTCTCTAGTTCTTTGTATGAAAAAGATGATCTTCCATAGACTTATAAGCCGGTTGTGTTGGTGTTGGTGTTGGTCCGTGTGTTACATATTTATCAACCATCTGAACTACAACAATGGATCATATTAGTGTTATTTATCTAAAACTGGAAAGATGTTACATATCTGATGGGAATAATGAATTTCTAATATATATAACAGACTGACTACCTGCAAATATACCACTGCTTCTGAAACATAAAATAGTGTATTGAGAAACTCCCCACCAACTTTCATTCCGCAGGTCCACTAGTTACCTCCCATAATCTCACTTTCATAAGCACACAATTAACAACCAAATGAAAACATAAAATGGAAAAAAAGTAAATAAATTATCCAACTTCTGTTTTCATAATAATAAGGTTAAAGGCTACACCTTATAGCTTGGGTGGATAGCAGTTTTATCGCATGCATAACCCTCTTCATATAACCAAATCGGCCAGCCTTCACCAAGTTTCCTTTCTCTTTTAGAATCACAAGTCCTCTAATAACCTATTAGAATACAAATGATGATATTATGATATCACTAGTGCTAGTGCTAGTAGCTTGCAGAGTGAAAAAGAATTACCAAATCAGGGTCAAAAGCAAGTCCATCAACAGGAAATCCAACATTCTTTAGACTCTCCATACAATAGTCATATGCCCTTCCTTCCCAAGCCTTCATCAAGTTCATAAATTAAAGTCATTTGCAAATAAAAGTAATGTGTAGGGGTTGGTTAGAATCAAAGGATAAATTATGAATATGGAATGGCACTTGGCTTCTTTCATTGAAAATGAACCACTTGAAAAATAATAAAGCCTCCAGGATACCCAAATGAAGCATCACTATGATCATCACATTTAAAAAAACAAAAAAAAAAATTATAACTTAAACATATCTAAGCTGATACAAATATTACATCTATATTTTAGTACTATAATAACAACAAACCTAAAACTTATAATAGGTGGGCCAGGTCTATCATCTGGTGTAGGAAACTCAAACTTGTAACTGCATACACAAAATAATAAATTAAATAAAAAAATAACAAGTGTGAATTATATCAAATAGAAATTAGTGACACATACTCTGGATCATTCACCACTTCATCAACGTGTCCTAAACGTTCCAGTGCCTGAAATTAGTGAACAAAAAATGATTATATTATGAGAAAGTACCAAAATTCAACCAAAATCAGCTTTTCCATTCCAATAATAATAAAAAATAAACAAATTAAAATGATAAATTGTAGAAATAATAGAATAAGATATTTTAAGTATGAAACTAACTAGCAAACCTCCATTACAGTAAAAGTGATCCATCTTTCATAAAAATCAGAAACAGGACCTCCATTTGCTATATGAGCACCTGACTTGGCAGTTGAGATTTCTATGCTGAAACAGACCGAAGAAAGATGGGTGATTGAATAAATAGATAAAGTGTATTAAAAAAAATTAAAAATGTTGACCTGGATTTACAAGTGTAATTACTAAATTAATTATAGGATTATGAGCAACAACCGCAAGAGCTAAAGATCCACCAAAGGAATCTCCAACCAGAGAAATTAGCTGAAGTAGAAAATGAGAAAGTGTTAGGGAAACAAGAGTGAAACCTCGAGGTTGTCAGCAAGGCGAGGTGAGGTGAGGTACTGCGATCATCGATTATTGTAGAGGCCAAGGAGACGTTTTCGTTCTCCCTCCTGCGTTTTCGTTCTTGAAGAAAACCCTCCTGCGTTTTTGTGGAATTTAGTAGTGCGCCGATATAAAAGCCCTAGTTCATGGGTGCGCACTTGTGAGGTCCAGAGCATAAAAGCCCTAGTTCTTCTTTGATAACGGGGACAAGGAAAACCTTAAAATCGTCGGCGTTTCGAGTTTGAGGAGTCGTAGACCCCCAATCGCCAACTCCATGAAAGATATTGTGAGGTTCAATTTTTGGGGAAGGCGGGGTACTTGAATTTTTTGGGGATTTGGTTTCCCCCGTTAGTTGCATGAAAAAGGGACGCGCGTATTAAAATTTTATAAAACGACATCTCTACACGACACCCACTTAAATTTAGGTGTCTTCCGTGTTTTTAATTTTTTTTCGTTGGACATTAATTTTAGGGAACGCACAAATGCGTGTCCTCTATCCTTCAAAATTTGCAAAATTGACATTATTTTTAGGGCACGCACAAATGTGTGTCCTTTATCAGCGCGTGTCATTGTTTGTGCATCATTAAAAGGCTGTTTTCTAGTAGTGTCTGATAACCGTATTTGGTATCCCATCCAAGAGTGTTTCGCCTGATATCCACCAATAACATCCTTATTTTGGCAACTTCCATCTTACTCTCACAATCCTTCTTATTTAGCCAGCATTCAGATCCATACATCATAGTTGATATAACAACCATCATATAAAATTTCCATTCGTTTTAATGAAATCTTCGTGTCACACAAGACTTCTATTGTCATCATATACTTTAACCAACTCATCTTTATGCTATGAATAACATCTACCTCCACTCACCATTCATTTTGAATCATTGTCTAAAAGTACTTAAAACTATATTTTAGAGGTAAAATTTGATGAATCCTACTATCTTCAGAAGATAGAGGAACTAAGAAAAAGGAGTGCATTAAATTCAAAGCCGACATTGATCGTTCCGGCAGGAAGTGATGAAGATGGGAGAGTTGAAGTGTGGTCAACTAACTCCGAAGATGATGAGATCAGAAAACCCACACATGGCGGGTGGGTTGTGGCAAAGTTAGAACTGCAGGAGTATGAAGGAAAAATGCTTGATCAGAATGGAGGTTCGGAACGAAGAGGGTATGCTACAGATGGTGATCAAGCTTTTGAAAGCTGCTTTGTTGCGAAGACAGTTTCGGAGCAAGTAAAAGAATGCGAGAAGGTGGTTGATAAGGTACGTTATATACTCATATCTCTTAATATTCTTGTTTCTCGCTATGACTCTGAACTAGACAATTTAAAATATATTGTCTCTAATTTCAGTGTTAGTTTAAAACGAACTCGACTAAGTAATCTAATCCGACTGGTCAACTTAACAGGGCAACATTTAAAAGTGAAGAGAGGAGATTAAGAATAGAGGCCTTGGAATTAGAGCTTACTAGGTCACATGATGATGTTATTTATCTTAAGAGAGATAATCGTGCACTTTTGAAACAAAGGAATATTTTTATGTGTAATAGCTAAGCGTTTATATTTTAATATTACTCAATTACATCTTGATTGTGAAATAGGAAAAGGTTTGCACAAAATGATTTTTCCTTTTCTTGAATTGAAAGATGATGAAATTTGTAACACCCAAATTTCCAAAACAATTTTTCACATTTTATAAAACGCATTTTCATTCATAATCGTTATAAAAACACCATTGGATCACATAGTCAATCATAACATCATATCCCAAGATCATAATAAAAATCTCCCCGTGTGTGTACTGATCAAGCCGGCGCCTTCCCACGATCCTCGTTGGTACCTGAGACACATAACACAACACTGTAAGCATAAATGCTTAGTGAGTTCCCCAAAATACCACACACAACACATATTAGCCACTCGAGGCTATAACTCTGATGACCCTCTGGTCAAGGTGTCTCTGTGGGACCCTCCAGTCCCATAACTCTGTGGGCCCTCTGGCCCTAACTCTGTGGACCTTCCGGTCCTAACTCTGAAAACTCTGTAACATACATAGTATATAACACATAGAAATCACATCATGCAAAAGCATACAGCATACTCTGTCTCATAGCTCTAATTACCACTCTAGGTAAAGTATAGTGAGAAGACTCACCTCGGGTAACTCGGTAAAGCTCGAATTCTGTAAAATCAGGTCTAGCCTCCGCCTAATCATGTAAAATAAATACTCTCAATCAATACATCTCTCACGGCTAGACTATTCCTCCTCTTAGTACTCTCAGAAGGGTAAAAGACCATTTTACCCCTCTCATAACTCAAAGGCCCCACTATAGACCAAACCCTAAAAGTCAACCAAAAGTCAACCCTCCGGGTTACGCTGCGCGTACCAGATGTGTACGCTGGGCGTACCCGGCAGTCTCTCAGAATCGGGGAACGCCACCCCGTACGCCGCGCGTACTGGGATTACGCCCGGCGTAAATCCCAGTTTCAGTCCCTTAGCTCTTGGGGTCTTAAACAGTTAAGACTCACATCCAACTTTTAGATCTGACCATTTCTAAGCCTCTTAATCCATAAAGTCGATGACTTTAAGCCTTTGCATGGCTGAACAAGTCACTAACACCCAAAATATACCATTTCCTAACACTAGAAAGCCCAATACTCAAGCATGATCTCATATCCACGACCAAGATGGGAACTTTATGGATCTATAACACAAATACCACTGAAATGGGACAGATCTAGGTCCATGGAGCTCATTACACTCATAAAGTCTCCACCTTTGGGACTTTTAACCCTAAAATGGTCCATGAAGCAACAAACCAAATTAAGAGGAAAGTTTTGAACTTTATACCTCCAAATGCAGCTCCTTCCTCTGTAGATCTCAGATCCAAACTTACACTTCAAGCTCTAGTCTCCACAAACTCCTCTCCTTCTTCTTCACTAGCACACCAAGGCACTTTTAGCTCCAAAATCACACACACTCACTAAGAACGATGAAAAGTTCTCTCTTAGGGTTTTACTCACTGCTATGGAGGCTGAGAAATGAGCCTTAGCATCCAATATATAGGGCACAAGTCAGAAATTAGGGTTTGCACCTGGACACATTACGCCCAGCGTAACCCTCGTACTCAGGCGAGTCCGCGTCCAAAATAAGCGCATGAGTACGCGCAGCGTACTCTTGAGTACGCCCAGCGTACTCATTTGCTACCAATTCCTCTTAAGGGCTTAACTTGACACTTTGAATAAAAGAAGGGCTAAATAGTTGTACCTGAATTTCGGGATGTTACAATTCTCCCCCACTAGAACTAGACTTCGCCCTCGAAGTCTCATTCAACAAATAACTCTGGATACTGCTCGCGCATCTCTAACTCCGGCTCCCAGGTCATTTCAGAACCCTTCCGATGTTGCCACTGGACTTAAACCAATGACACCTCCTTGTTTCTCAAAGTCTTGATCCTTCGATCCACAATCGCAACCGGTCTCTCAACATAATTCAGGCTCGCATCCACCTGAATGTCCTCTAACGGAACCACTGCCGACTCATCAGCGATACACTTCCTCAACTGAGACACGTGGAAGGTATCGTGAATCTGGCTCAACTCCGTAGGTAGCTCCAAACGATACGCTACCCTGCCCACCCTGGCAGTCACCCTGAAAGGACCAATATACCGAGGTCCCAACTTACCCCTCTTCCTGAATCGGATCACCCCCTTCCAAGGAGATACCTTCAGGAGTACTAAATCACCAACCTGGAACTCAAGCCCCGAGCGACGTCTGTCCGCATAACTCTTATGGCGGCTCTGAGCGGTCAACAACCTCTGTCTGACCTGCTGAATCTGCTCAGTCGTCTGAAGCACTATCTCTGTACTACCCATCACACGCTGCCCGACCTCACCCCAGCAAATAGGAGTCCGACACCTCCTCCCATACAACAGCTCAAAGGGTGGCATACTGATGCTCAAATGATGGTTGTTGTTATAGGAAAACTCAACCAAGGGTAAATACGTGTCCCAACTTCCTCCGAAGTCCAATACACATGCCCGAAGCATGTCCTCGAGCGTCCGAATCGTCCGCCCGCTCTGCCCGTCTGTCTGTGGGTGGTAGGCGGTACTGAAATGCAACCTCGTACCCAACTGGAGATCGACTCAACCCCGACCTCTATCATTTGATACTCATCGTTGGACCCTTCGGTCCGGTCTATATCGTTGGACCCTTCGGTCCGGTCTGTACAACACATCACCAGGACTCAACTCAACTCAAGAGTTTGGTCCACCCGTAGTTGGAATCGCTCGTTCCAATGACTCATTCAACTCATAGCTTGGGGACCCGCAACCCATGCGTACTTTACTTATCCAATCCCTTCGGATTGGATGTCCACACTTACTCAGAATGTAATGATTCCCAATCATTTAGGAGACCCCGGTCTCACCCCTGGTCCGACCACCAGGCTCCCAAAACTCATGCGTAGGGCTTTTCAAGCCTAAAACCCTCCTGTGTCATGCTCAGATCAAGAAGGCTTCCTCATAACAACCTCTCGCTAATTAGTGCGTATTACGGCTCCCCATAACATCACCACAACCTCCTACTGACTAGTGAGTACTACGGCTCCCCATAGTATCACAACAACCTCTCTCTGACTAGTGAGTACTACGGCTCCCCATAGTATCACAACAACCTCTCTCTGACTAGTGAGTACTACGGCTCCCCATAGTATCACAACAACCTCTCTCTGACTAGTGAGTACTACGGCTCCCCATAGTATCACAACAACCTCTCTCTGACTAGTGAGTACTACGGCTCCCCATAGTATCACAACAACCTCTCTCTGACTAGTGAGTACTACGGCTCCCCATAGTATCACAACAACCTCTCTCTGACTAGTGAGTACTACGGCTCCCCATAGTATCACAACAACCTCTCTCTGACTAGTGAGTACTACGGCTCCCCATAGTATCACAACAACCTCTCTCTGACTAGTGAGTACTACGGCTCCCCATAGTATCACAACAACCTCTCTCTGACTAGTGAGTACTACGGCTCCCCATAGTATCACAACAACCTCTCTCTGACTAGTGAGTACTACGGCTCCCCATAGTATCACAACAACCTCTCTCTGACTAGTGAGTACTACGGCTCCCCATAGTATCACAACAACCTCTCTCTGACTAGTGAGTACTACGGCTCCCCATAGTATCACAACAACCTCTCTCTGACTAGTGAGTACTACGGCTCCCCATAGTATCACAACAACCTCTCTCTGACTAGTGAGTAC